AGTTTGACTTCTAAACTTCCTAGAACAAGCTGGGGAAGCTACCAACCAACTCTACTATGTGGTATGGTGTGAAATGTGCTTCGCGCCACAACGGCGTGCACTTTTTCAACATCTCAACTTCCAAAGTGGTCCGAACCTGGTGTATCTTGTACATTTTGACTTGCAAATGTGCTTCGCGCCACAACTGCGTGCAATTTTTCATCTCTCATCTGGCCAGATGGCTCCGCGCCCGCCGCTTTAGCGAGCCTACTTTTCGACCCTCCGGAGCCACAAATCATTGGAAAAACACAGTGTTTCGCGACTCTCCTACCTTTTCGCGCATCTGCATCTTCTTTCTTCTGACTCTTTCTCTTCTCTGATCTGCTCTCTTCCACTCTTCTCTTCTCTCTGCCTCTGCCCATCTCTGCTTTTCATCTGTCCATATTGTCGGAAGTTTGACTTCTAAACTTCCTTCGAATAGGGTTTCTAAACCAATTTACAACTAGGGGGGGCCCACATTGAAAAAAGATTCCGCATATTTTCGGTGGATTTCAAATTGGGGAGAATCAAAAACCACCTTCGGTTCAAACCACCAGCCGCCTCGTCCTTGACATCTTCTCGAAAGGCTTCCACCACAGGCCTTAGCACAGAATTTTTGGCGTTCTTGGAATCCATGGAACATCAAATTTTTGGTGAAATCAGGCGAAATCAGGTGAAATCCCAATTTTTCTTGTCCAAGTCACAATCTTGGCTGGTGAAATTCCACACTTTGGCTGGTGAAAAACCTGATGTTTGAATCGTAAATCATCCAAGCTAAAAAGAGACGTAGCCACGTACCTTGCGGCGAAGCCTGCGTAGTTCATGAGGCGAAATCTCAATCTCACGTACCCACAACCACGGTTACTTCGGTAGCTGTACAAACTGAACTGGGACTGTTACACCCAAAAAATGGGTCCTAGAACCTGTCCTTGAACCGTTTTTTTCTGATTGAAAACCATGGGTTTTTAAGAAAAACCCACTTACCCTCTGGTAATTTAACATAGCTATTGAAAATGACCATAGAAATAGTGAGTTTTCCCATTAAAAATAGTGATTTTCCATAGTTATGCTAGTTTACCAGAGGGTAGAAGTGCCAGGGTGTTGGACGGCAGTGGTTCAAGACATTTGATGCTTCATGTGGGATTGGATGTGGCTTTGCTCAATCTTCAGACCTCAAACTGAAGAAAATACAGTGTCCATCCACCTGTGTTTGTTGTATAGTAACCCCCGAAAAGATTGAAAAGTGTTTCCAGGTATAGATTATACCCTCTGGTAAACTAACATAACTATGGAAAATCACTATGTTCAATGGGAAACTCACTATTTCTATGGCCATGTTCAATAGCAAACTGTTAAATTACCAGAGGGTATGCGCCCCATATTTTCCAGGTTTTCAACTTGTTGGCAGCCAAGATATTTTCCTCGATGAATCTGACTGTCGAATCACAACATCGGCCTTGGTGATCCAATCCCAGGGATTTCCGATCTGAAATTCTGTTAGACAGAAGCTTCAAAATCGATAAAAGTCAAAAAAAAAATGATATTAAACTATAGAGAGAAATCCAGTCAGAATGCTTGTTATCCTCAATCATTTGGGATATGATGGACGGTAGGTATGGAGATGACCTGGTTGGTGGTTGAGCCACCTACCCCTCTGAAAAATGATGGACAAATCGTCAGTTGGGATGATGACATTCCCAATATGATGGGAAAGTCATAAAATTCCATGGTTCCAGTCACCACCAACCAGTAAATGATTAAATGTGCAGGGAAATATCCCAAACTATCCTGATTTTTATGCTGCTTCAATTCCCATGTTTGGCTCGCTCCAGGTGAACTTTTGTGCAGTCGTGTCACTTGATGGAAGCATGGCCTCACTGCGGTCAGGACGCAGGAGGATGGTGTAGGATGAAGGATTCTGGCCATGTGGGTGATCTCAAAAAAACTTATGGGGTGATGGTGATGATGATAGTGGTGATGATGATGATGATGATGATGCTGCTGCTGCTGCTGGTGCTGGTGCTGGTGCTGGTGCTGCTGGTGGTGGTGATGGTGATGGTGGTCGTGGTGGTGGTGAGAAATGTGAGATTTGGATTCGGTTGGGGCGAGATTAGGAGGAGGAGGAATGATTGGGATGCTTCGGTTGATGAATTATATAGTATATAGCATATAGTATGATAAGGATGTTTATCCTCCGGTAATCAAACATTGCAATTGAAAATCCTCCATTTATAGCTGAATTTCCCATTAAAACACGATTTACAGGGGGGTCCATTTGCCATGTTTGATTACCAGAGGGTAAATAAATTGCCAGAAGAAGGTCGATTGAACAGTTGACTGTATCATTCACCGGCCATGGGTCACCACATGTCACCCAGAAAGTTGAATTGTTTACTATGGTCTTCTATGGTGCATGCTCATGACTCTCCATTTCTGGGCCCATGCCATAGTATGCCATCTTAGATTGCCATGTGGCCATGTGTTGTTTGACATCTCGCCAGACACATTTCTGTTGATTGGGATGGCTTCTACAAACCATCACACTCGCCAGAATCCACGTAGAAGACCCAGGCCTTCTTGCTTTCCCTCCTCCTCAAACCAAGACTAAGAATATTCCGAGATGTCGAAAAATGCCAAGGAACAGCTGAGTGAAAAATGCTGATTTCGTATGATTTCGTTGGTTTTAAAGGGAAGTTCATCTATAAATGGAGCTTTCTAGCTGGGAAAATCATCGAATTCGACCCAGACCTGCAAGAACTGAGTTTCACCAACAGGACTGGCTACATCGAAAGGGTGATACCAGGGAAGGTCACCACAATTTCGCACCAAGAAACACTAGGATTCGTGACATCCATGTCACGAGATGGAAATGGTGACTACAAGTGCAACTACTGTAACAAATATACAAGGTAGAAGCCGGCTTGGTTGATCAACCAATGCAGTGTTGGAAATGGAAGAACCTTCACGTAATGGTTGGTTTTTGCTGACGTCGCACCATTTCTCACCCTAGCATGTTAATCCTGAAACACAGTCCCTCAGTGTGAAGCATCTTAATCCCTTCCCCCAATATCAAACCCCTAAATCCCATGTTTGGGGAAATTTATATACGGGGTATTTACTATTAGGGTGGTGGGAGTTTTATACCTGTTTAGAACCCATTAAGAAACAAGGGACTTTGCCACTGATTCAGTCAGGTTCAACTATCTTGTCAGTATATCCATGCTGGAAGTCCGACTTTTTTGTGTTATATCGTACCTTCCAGTAAACAAACCTGGGAATTTCTCACATCTCCGCAATTTTGCCCCGAAATGATCCCCCGAACCGCAGAAACGATTCCTGGAGGAAAGAGGAAAACACCACACATCTGGGGAGCTTCATACAACTGGAAACCCCATGCCATATTAGAACTCATTCTTCTGCACACGAAAATACCCTCTGGTAAACACATAGCTATTGAAAATGGCCATTTATGGTGGATTTACCCATTAAAAATTGTGATTTTCCATAGCTATGTTAAATTACCAGAGGGTACCTTACTTCGGGGATCCACTTCCCCCATTTTGAGACAACCCCATTACTTACTCACTACATTTTTTCAAAACCTTCTCGGAAAATGGTTGCTTTCACATACACATCTTCATCCATGAGGTAGCCCCAAGCAATCAGCCATAATAGGCCATAGCCTTCAAAAACTTCTTATTGGGTACACCCCATAACAAGTGCCGTACAACTGGGAATATGTTGTAAAACAACCCCATATGGTCGTGAAAAGTGGGGAGGTTTTATGGATGTTTATGGCATTATTGTTCAGTTCCACTCAGTTCCAAACCGTGGATATGAACCACAAGTCTAGAGGTCCAATGTCCCAACTTATGGTTGTGGTAAAAACCATGGTTTTAACAAAAATCGACCACTGACCCCGGAGGATCATCCCACGAATCGTGGTGAAACAATAGTGGATGATCTCATTTATACATACATACATACATACATCTATGTATGTATGTATGTCTGTATGTATGTATGTCTGTATGTCTGTATGTAGGTATGTAGGTATGTAGGTATGTAGGTATGCACAGGTATGCACGTGTATGCACATGTATGCACATGTATGCACATGTATGCACATGTATGCATGCATGCATGCATGCATGCATGCATGCATGCATGCATGCATGTATGTATGTATGTATGTAGGTATGTAGGTATGCACAGGTATGCACAGGTATGCACAGGTATGCACAGGTATGCACAGGTATGCACATGTATGCACATGTATGCACATGTATGCACATGTATGCACATGTATGCACATGTATGCACATGTATGCACATGTATGCACATGTATGCATCTATGCATATATGTATGTATGTATGTATGTATGTATGTATGTAGGTATGTAGGTATGTAGGTATGTAGGTATGTAGGTATGTAGGTATGTAGGTATGTAGGTATGCACAGGTATGCACAGGTATGCACAGGTATGCACAGGTATGCACAGGTATGCACATGTATGCACATGTATGCACATGTATGCACATGTATGCACATGTATGCACATGTATGCACATGTATGCATGCATGCATCTATGCATGTATGTATGTATGTATGTCTGTATGTATGTATGTCTGTATGTATGTATGTCTGTATGTATGTATGTCTGTATGTATGTATGTCTGTATGTATGTATGTCTGTATGTATGTATGTCTGTATGTCTGTATGTCTGTATGTAGGTATGTAGGTATGTAGGTATGCACAGGTATGCACAGGTATGCACAGGTATGCACAGGTATGCACATGTATGCACATGTATGCACATGTATGCACATGTATGCACATGTATGCACATGTATGCACATGTATGCACATGTATGCACATGTATGCACATGTATGCATGCATGCATCTATGCATATATGCATATATGTATGTATGTATGTATGTATGTATGTATGTAGGTATGTAGGTATGTAGGTATG